CTTCGAATTAAAGATCCGAACGGTCAAAGTGAATAAATAGGTCTTAGGATTCATATATTAAACTTTTACCTAAATCCAACGGTAAAAACAATTAAAAGGAAGGTTTTATCACAATAACTCGAAAATATAAAATTATAATCATGAAAACTAAATTTACACAAGTGAATAAATAGCTACCATTACCAAAATTTTAACATGTTCATAGCTCATATTCATGATCATAACATGTATAAGTATCATATATAAGAAAGGATTAGTTCCCCTACCTCAAGTTTAGTAACTCCAAACGTCTAGATCTAGACTGAGTTTGTCCAACTTCTCTACTTTGTGCACCTTTTTCTTTCTTTCTCATATTAACCTCACTTCTCTCCTAAGTTTTAATTTGTTTTCTTAAGTTTTATTAAGACAAAGAACCAATGTATTTATCCTTGAAAACCAGCAACCCTAGTGTTGGATGGTTCCTACCACTAAGAGACCACTCTCCCTTAATCTACGCTCAATGTTTCGCACAATATCACTTCAACTTTTGTAGGTTTGTCCTATTTGGTTTCATTGGGCAGAAGTTTGGAGTGGAGTCAAAATTTCAAAGTTGCTAGGTGGAAAGAAATGAATTATATAGGTATGTGAGGAAAAGAAGATAAGATGTTACATTTTCATTAGCCAAAATAATGAGTATTTCTACTATAGACAACTCATATACTAGATGTATATTCTAACTTAATAAAATATTGATATATCTTGTTATACAATAGACTAAAATAAAATATTAAAATAATATACTCAATACTTTAATATCATATTAGTATCATATAACAATAAATTTTTTATTAATTATGGAACAAAATGAAATAAAACATCTTATCACAATTAATTTGGGTCTAACAACTTTCATTATACATTTTTCACACCATAAATAATTATTCAAAACCACAACATATATAAATTACTTTTACTTTTTCTATGGGTCTTACATTCACCCCAACTTAAAAAAATTTTGTCCTCGAAAATTAAGTTGTTACTCAAACAAATGAGGGTATTCATTTATCATATAATAGCCCTACCTATTTGCTGACAACTTCCTTGATTTAATAGCCCTACCTATGCCAGTAACCGATGTCACACGTAGAAACACATGATCTCCTTCGTTGAACTCAAGAGGTCTCCTCCTCTTGTCTGCATAATATTTTTTCCTACTTTGTGTTGCACGCATCCTTTCTTGTATCAACTTGACTTTTTTTGTCGTTTGCTGCAACAACTCGAGACCCATTAAAATTGTTTCTCCTTCCTGAAACCATCACAAAGGTGTCCTGCACCTTCTGCCATACAATGCTTCATACGGTGCCATTCCAATGCTTGCATGAAAGTTGTTGAAAATAGAATGACTTAACTTCTCACACCAAGAGGGGGGTGAATTGGTGAAATGTAAAAACAATGTTTTCTTTAAATCTTTTTCGCAAAGTGAATGCCTTTAAAAGCTTTCTTGAAATGCAAAGAAAAAGATTTGTTTATACAACGAAAATTAAATCGATTGAGTACAGTAAGAAGTCGACTGAATAAAAGAATGTAGGGATAAAAAGATCAAACGTTGAGTTTTTATACTGGTCCAGCCAAGCCTACATCCAGTGTCCTTCTAACCACAGGAAGCTAATGCACTATAATGATCAAGGTTTTTACAACAAGGCTTTTATAGCGACCTCACGTCAAAAATATAAAACACCTCTCTAACCCTCTAATCAAAATATAGGCATATACAAACAGACTAGTAGCAAGAATCCCCTCTCCTGCAGTCCAAACACTTTGAGCCACCCTCAAAGTCAAGAACGCAACACGCTCTTCTTCCTGTAATCACAATAGGGAACCTCAATCCAATATTCACCAGATTGTAGCCTCTGATCTCTCAGTTACACCCAATGTGCAGATATGATCAACCTTTGTACATGCAGTTAACTGGCTCTTGAAGAATCCACAAGTAGATGATCACCACAGTCACTTCTTGTTTCTTGGAGCTCTTTCTCTCTTTTTTTATGAATGAACTTTCTGCAAAAGATATCACAAATTGTTAGATTCACAAAAGTTCTTATAGAATTCAAATTCGCGTCTATTAATAGTTTTTCTCACTTCAGACGCATTTTAATCGACTTAGCTACTAATGCAGTCGAATATCATAATTCAGTTAAAGCAGTTAATTGAATGTACAATTAATGCAGTCGAATCTCATTTAATGTTTGGTCAACATATTAAAAATATAGTCGTTGTAACATTTAATTCAAGCATTAACAAAATTTCAAAACTTTAACAGACTTAGTCGAATGCAGGTTGCATGTAATCGACTATATAACATCATCACTGGAAGAATCTATATCATTGTTTTCCTAAGCAATATAAGTTTTCCTCTGCTTCCAGTTCTTGTCCTGAGGATACTTAGAGAATTCTTTCTGCTTATTCTTCAAGTCTGAACAGTTAGGCTTAATGTGACAATCATTTCCACATTCATAGCATTGAACAATGTTGTTTCTTGAATTCTTCTTTCCTCCTCTTGAGAAACCTGCATTGTTAGTTGCAGAATTTTTATTTTTCATGAATCTGCGAAATTTTCTTACCATCATATTCATCATTTTTTTCTGGTTTATCTGCATCTGAATCAGTTTTAGGTTCATGAATCTTTATAGCTTTCTTTCTTGTGGCTTTTAGAGCAATCAATTTCTTCTTCCTCCTTTAACCTTCCAAGCTCCAATTCATGTTCTCTCAGCTTGCCGAACAAGGTTGCCATATTCATGCTTGTAAGATCTCTTGATTCAGATATAGCAGTGACTTTCGGTTACCAGCTTCTATTGAGGCTTTTCAAGATCTTTATGTTGATTTCTTCTTTATCAAACACTTTCCCGAGAGCCATGAGGTGATTGACTATGTGTGTTAATCGTTTATGTACCTCATAGATCGTCTCACCAGCCTTCATTCTGAAAAATTCATACTCTTGTATAAGAGAATTCTTTCCGACCCTTTTTACTTCATTTGTTCCTTCATGTGTCACCTCAAGAACCTCCCACATTTCCTTGGCAGTCTTGCATTTTGATATCCTGAAAAATTCATCCATGGTTAGTGCAGAAGCAATAACATTTCTAGCCTTAACATCATATTGATCTCTTCGGTTCTCATCTTGAGTCCACTTAGAAAAGTTTTTCAAAACAGCTTTTCCGTTAACAACATGAGTTGGTTCAAATGGACCGTTTAGAGTTGCATCCTAAACTCCTTTATGCACGGATTCAAGAAAGATTTGCATCCTAATTTTCCAGAAAGGATATTTTTCTCCAACAAATAGTGGTGGTCTATTTGTGGATGCACCTTCATCAAAAGTTTGAAAATTAAAAGCCATTTTTCAGGATCATTCGGTTTAAGAAAAAGGTAATCGAATTGTTTTTCAAATATCTTATGAACACTAACTCTAGTGCCAATTGTTGAAAATAAAATGGCTTAATTTCTCAAACCAAGAGGGGGGTGAATTGGTAAAATGTAAAAACAATGTTTTCTTTAAATCTTTTTCACAAAGTGGATGCCTTAAAAATCTTTCTTGAAACGCAAAGAAAAAGATTAGTTTATGCAGCGGAAATTAAATCGATTGAGTACAGTAAGAAGAAAGCTGAATAAAAGAGTGTAGCCATAGAAAGATCAAACGGTGAGTTTTTATACTGGTTCGATCAAGCCTACATCCAGTGCCCTTCCAACCACAGGAAGTCAATGCACTATAATGATCAAGATTTTTACAACAAGGCTTTTATAATGACCTCACGTCAAAAATATAAAACACCTCTCTAACCCTTTAATCAAAATATAGGCATATACAAACAGACTAGCACCAAGAATCCCCTCTCCTGTAGTCCAAACCCTTTAAGCCACCCTCAAAGTCAAGAACGAAGCACACTCTTCTTCCTGTAATCACAACAGGGAACCTCAATCCAATCTTCAAAGATTGTAGCCTCTGATCTCTCAGTTACACCCAATGTGCAAATATGATCACCCTTTGTTCGTGCACTTAACTTGCTCTTCAAGAATCTACAAGTAGATGATCACCTCGTCACTTCTTATTTCTTGGAGCTCTTTACTCATTATGTAAGAATGCACTTTTTGCAAAAGATATCACAAACTGTTAGATTCACTAAAGTTCTTACAGAATTCAAATTCGCGTCTATTTATAGATTTTCTCACTTCAGAAGCATTTTAATCGACTTAGCTACTAATGTAGTCGAATATCACAATTTAGTTAAAGTAGTTAGTGGGAATCAATGCAGTTAATTGAATGTACAATTAATGCAGTCGAATCTCATTTAATGCTTGGTCAACATATTAAAAATATAGTCGTTGTAACATTTAATTCAAGCATTAACAGAATTTCAACACTTTAACAGACTTAGTCGAATGCAGATTGCATGTAATCAACTATATAACACAGTTAAACAATGTTTTGAAAAACTTTCACTTTGAAAATCTCACAGCACACTTTGAAAATGGTTTGTGTAAAGCCACGAGTTTTAATCGACTCACCCCATAATGAAGTTGACTTAAAACTGTTGTTTTGCCACACAATTAAAAGTTCAACATAAGTGCTTGTGGTTTTCCTTCTATAAAACAGCAGACATGCATTCACCAATAAAATGAATTATATAGCACAGTGAAATGAAATGTATCAACACAATCATGTTCTCAATGCTTTAAACAGATTTACATAATGATTAAAACATATAGCATGTAAGCAATAGAACATGTAACACATAAACAACACATAACAACTCATAACAACATGTGTGTTATTAATTATGTTGTCATCATCGAAAACCAAAAGCTCTGAGATTGTAGGTTCAGCTAAACCAGTGTTTCCCTATCAACAATCTCAACAAAAGTTGTTGTTGTACGTGAAATCCACCAAAGGCAACACCTCACTCCAACATCCCAAGTGATCCAACACACACGTTCTCAACAGATCTTCCAATGACTGAATAGTCTTTTCAGTTTGTCCATCTATTTGAGGATGATATGCTGAACTCATCCTCAACCTTGAACCGAAAGCCTCCTGCAATTTCTGCCAGAACCTTGAGGTAAACCTTAGATCCTGATCTGAGACAATGTTATTTGGTACACCATACAATCTCATTATTTCCTAAATGTACAACTCTGCCAACTTCTCCATTGACATCCTTAGGTTGATTGGCAAAAGGTGAGCAATGTTCGTCAATCGATCAACTATCACCCAAATGTAATCGTGACCCCTCGATGATCTCGGTAAGTGAGTTACAAAGTCCATCAAGATGTTGTCCCATTTCATCTGAGGAATATCCAACTATTGTAACATTACACTCGGCCTTTGATGTTCTATCTTAGCCTTCTGACATACCAAACAAGAAGATACAAACTTTGCCACATCTTGTTTCATCCCACTCCACCAAAAAGATTCTTTCAAGTCCTTGTACATCTTAGTCATATCAGGATGTATGCTAAGACGACTCTTGTGTCCTTCTTCTAGAATCATTTTCTTCAACTCATCCTTTGCTAGAATGCAAACTCTATTTCAAAAACGAAGAATACCATCTATTCCCAAACTAAAGTCCTTAGCTTGATCCGTTCCAACAACTCCACTGTATGTTGTAGACTTCTATCTTCATTCTGTCCCACTTTGATCTTTCCCAAGAAGTCATTTGAGATCCTTAAATGACTACACCAAAGGTGATCTTGGCTCAACTGAAAACCCAAGTTCATATCTCTGAACTTCTTTATCAACAGAAACTCCTTCACCATCAAAGCTGACATATGCATTTGCTTCCTACTTAAAGCATCGGCTACAACATTTACCTTCCCTGGATGGTACTGCAACTCAAAATCAAAATCCTTCAAGTACTTCATCCACCTTCTCTGCCTCATGTTCAACTCGTTTTGACCGAAGAGATACTTCAAACTCTTGTGATCACTAAAGATTTGAAAACGTGATTCGTACAGATAGTGCCTCCAAGTCTTCAAAGCGAAAAAAATAGTTGTTAACTTGATGTCGTGCATTGGATAGTTCCTTTCATGTACCTTCAACTGTCTCGATGCATAAGCTACTGGTCGCTTCTCCTGCATAAATACACAATCGGGCCCATGGTATGAAGCATCACAAAACACTTCAAAAGCTTTAGAAGTATCAGGAATTTCCAAGACTGAAGCACTTGTCAACCTTTTCTTCATCTCTTCAAAACTTGTTTCTCACTTGTCGGTCCATAAGAAAGTTTGTTCCTTACAAGTCAACCGCGTCAAAGGACCCACTATCTTGGAGAAACCTTCGACGAACCTCCTGTAGTACCCAGCTAGGCCCACAAAACTTCTTACTTCTAACACCATCTTTGGACGTTCCCACTTCAGCACTGCCTCCACCTTCGATGGATCTACAGAAATTCCTTTAGCAGAAATCACGTGACCAAGAAACTATATTTCCTCTAACCAAAATTCGCATTTAGATAACTTCCCAAACAATTGATGCTTCCTAAGCATCTCCAACACAATCCTCAAATGCTTAGCGTGCTCTTCACGATCCCTTGAATATATAAGAATGTCTTCTATGAACACAACAACAAATTTATCTAGCCACGGTCAAAATATTTGATTCATGTAATCCATGAATATAACAGGAGAATTGGTCACCCCGCATGGCATCACCACATACTCGTAGTGACCATAATGTGACCTGAAAGTCGTCTTCTGACTATCCTCTGGCTTGACCAAGATCTGATGGTAACCAGACCTCAAGTCAATCTTTGAAACCACACTAGCTCCTCGCAACTAATCCAGCAAGTCATTAATTCTTGGCAGCGGGTACTTGTTATTAATCGTCAACTTGTTCAACTATCGATAGTCGATGCACAACCTTGAACTACCATCTTTCTTCTTTACTAACAAGACTTGAGCTCCCCATGGTGATACACTCGGCCTGATAAACTTCTTCTACAATAGTTCCTCAATTTGTCTCTTTAGCTCTGCTAGCTTTGTCGAAGCCACCTATACGGGGCCATAGACACTGGTCTAGCTCCTGGTACCAAGTCTATAGAGAACTTCACTTCTTTGCTTGGTGGCAACCCTGGTACTTCATATGGAAAGAAATCCACGAACTCTTCCACTACCAGGATACCTGTCGTCTGAACCTCAAAACACATGGCCCCATCACTAACATCCTTTAGAACTTCTTGGGTTGAGATCAAATCTAAACCACCTAAGTCTGGAAAAACCTGTTGTCGTCCACAGTCAAGAAGAACGTGATTGGCGATCAACCAATCCATTCTTAGAATGACATCTAAGCCTTGGAGAGGTAAGAAGATCAAGTTCACTTTGAACTTGCGTTCAGTGACTACAATCGAGCATCTAACACAAACTGAACTGGTTGAGATCTGACCCGATGTTGGTGTAGAAACCACCAATTCATACCTGAGATTACTCACCGGCAGAATGAAGTCTTTCAAACAAGTAGAAGAAACAAAGCAGTGTGTAGCTCTGAAATCAAACAATACATGCACACATATACCAAACAAAAGGCATGTGTCAAGGATTAGATTACCTGGCTTTGTAGCCTCTTCACCGGTCAAAGCGAAAACCCTTTCAACTATCTTGGGCTTCGCGCCTGAAGAACTTGGTTGTTGTTGTGCATGTGTTATCTTCTTATCAGGACAAACATGAGTGAAATGTCCTAGCTTATTACACACAAAGCACCTCTTCTCTTCAACCTTCACTCGAGAGAGCTTAAGGCAATCCCTCTTGTAATGCGCACCACCGCATTCAAAACATTTCACAGCTGCTAGCATAAGCGGTTGAGGTCGCTGATAGGGCTTCTTCCCCGACTTCCCTCCATTAAACTTGTTCTTCCGAGTCCTTTCAACTCGATTCCGGTTCATTTCCAGTAACTCTACCTTTTTCATCTTCTCGACTAAGGCTAAAAACTTCTTGATATCAAGAGGTACAATCATCCTCCTCAGGTCATACCTCAGACCCTGCTCAAATCTTTGACACTTCCACCCTTCTGTCATGTGCTGACTATAAAATCGGATAAGATACTCAAACTTGTCGATGTACTCTTGCACCGACATCCCACTTTGACGCAAGGCCAAGAACTCTTGCTCCCTTTCGATCTTGGCGCTAGTCGGGAAGTACTTTTCCAAAAACTTGTCCTTGAAACTTTTCCAAGTAATAGCCTCTTCATCATATTCCATTAGTCGCTTTATACCATCCCACCACTACTCTGCTTCCTCTTTCAGTATGAAGGTTGCGTAATCTAGTTTTTCCTTGATCACATGAAATATCTTCTCAATGTCCTTGATCCAAGCATCCGCTTTATCTGGCGTAGCCCTTCCATTGAACCTTGTTAGGTCGTGCCTTAGAAAGTCATTCAGCCTCGAATGAGTCCTCGGCTCCTGAGTGGTATGCTGCCTCTCCATTGCGTTGATCATCCGATCAACAACCCGATTAAAATCATTAGTTGGGGGTGTTTGACCAACATTGTTAGATCGACGTGTCATGTTCTACCATATATGCCAAAAGAAATAAATTCAAACATAAGTCAAAACAATGCATATATCCACCTTTCAAACCAGTGCTTTCCAAAAGAGGTACAAAAATCATCACAACAAATCAGAGAGTCACACAACAGAAGTTAACGAGCTCACTTCTCAAAAGCCCCAAAATATTTTTGAAAACCATCCTCTGATACCAAACAATGTAACACCCCGAATTAGGCGTTACGATTTATGTTCCGCAAAATTGTATGTATATATATATATATATATGTTTTTTTTATATATGTTTTTTTTATAATTTTAACGCTAACAAAATATTAAGTTCTTTATTACGACACAAGTCTTCTAAAAATAAAATTCCACATAGTTCAGAAACTTCTGAAATTTAAAATTCCACACAGTTTAGAAATTCAAATGTATAATTATTTAGAAATTCCCCATGTCTCTTTTCCCCGTAGATCCATCTTCTAAGAAAGTCCAGAACCATCTGCTAATTCATCTGAAATAGTTTCTGCTCCCATATAATATCACACATTATACGATCATTGCATTCACATACACAAACACAAACAGTAGGATGAGCTAACCGAATCAAGAAATATACATCATCCGCAATCTTACTAATATCACAAGTGTGGTAATCAGTCCAATTCATGCATCTCAAACATACTCAAGAACAAACTATTACATTAATACTATATAATATTTCTCAAGTAAAAATCATTAGTCCATTTACTAGAGTCAATACAACATATTATTAACCTGCCTACTTACCAAAGCAAAGCAGTCAACAATCCTTCTGTCTACTTACCAAAGTAGCATAACCATGTGATATTGACTACTTACCAAAGTAATCTAACAAGGTGATTTTTTTATCTACTTACCAAAGTAGTACAACAAGTTGATATTGTCTACTTATCAAAGTAGCACAACAAGGTAATATTGTCTACTTACCAAAGTAGCACAAACAAGTGATATTATCTACTTGCCAAAGTAGCATAGCATGGGACATTCCGCCTACTTACCAAAGCAATACGATTTATGTCAAATTGACCTCTCATCCTCCCACCTACTTACTAAAGTAGTGTCCGGCTTCGAACCTCTCTCCTCCCGACTTACAAAAGTCGTAGAAAATAAATAAAATTCAGATTTACATTTATGGCAAGAATACCTATACAACCCATCCAAATTTACCATCAAATGATTTACTATCCATGATCTAACTCAAATAATGATTACAAACTAAGTAATGTTCAATATAATTTAATTTATAATATAGAATATATCTTATTACTCATCTTCCAATCCTCAAAATACAATTCTACATACAATTTAAGAATATAATTATTCAAGATTTTACCTAATACAAACAAATTTATTATTTCGTGAAAAGATTACTCTTTACACATATCATTAATTAAAGATCTGAACCAATCAAACTAATTAACAACATGTTTAGATCATATGGTAAAATTTTCAGTCTGATCCAAGAGTTAATAAGGCGGAAATCTTAATTTTTTTATAAATGATCCAAAAACAGAAATGAAGCAATATTAAGCTCCTTGAGAAGATACGAAACTAATATCTCCCAAGCTCTACCACCGATTTGAAATTAGAACGGTCAAAGTAGTTCACTATGCATTAGCAACTACATACTAAAATTTTAGGTTAATCTAACGGTTAACTAGGTAGATATTGAGGTTTTATCGAGGTAACATAAGGACAGGAATTTAAATGGTTTTCGATTATACTCAAAATGCGAATGAATTCCTCTAAGCACAGACATCTAATTACAAATTGGAACGGTCACGATAACTTAATATGTCTTATGAACTAAATACTAAAGTTTAGGCTCAATCAAAGGATAAATGAAGTATATTTGAAGTTTTTACCATGATAACTTAAGAATAGAAATACAGTGTTCATCAGATTTTTCACAATTTCGAAATCAATTTATCAAAACATAAACTTTTAATTACAAATACGACCGGTCAAAGTGTAGTAATATATCTTAGGAAGTATATATCAAACTTTCAAGTTGATCTAATGGTCAAATAGGTTGGAATCTATATTTTACCGAGAGGACTCCGTAACAGAAATTACAGAGGTAATTAATTTACTCAAAAATGCAGGATTTATTTCTCCAAGTACAGACTTCGAATTAAAGATCCGAACGGTCAAACTGAATAAATAGGTCTTAGGATTTATATATTAAACTTTTAGCCAAATCCAACGGTAAAAAAAATTAAAGGAAGGTTTTATCACAATAACTCCAAAATAATAAAATTATAATCATGAAAACTAAATTTACACAAGTGAATAGATAGCTATCATTACCAAAATTTTAACATGTTCATAGCTCATATTCATGATCATAACATGAATAAATATCATATATAAGAAAGGATTAGTTCCCCCACCAGGTTTAGTAACTCCAAACGTCTAGATCTAGAGTGAGTTTGTCCAACTTCTCTACTCTATGCACCATTTTCTTCCTTTCTCGACCAACCTCACTTATCTCCTAAGTTTTAATTTGTTTTCTTAAGTTTTATTAAGACAAAGAACCAATGTATTTATCCTTGAAAACCAGCAACCTTAGTGTTGGATGGTTCCTACCACAAAGAGATCACTCTCCCTTAATCTACGCTTAATGTTTCCAAAATATCACTTCAACTTTTGTAGGTTTGTCCTATTTGGTTTCATTGGGCAGAAGTTTGGAGTGGAGTCAAAATGTCAAAGTTGATTGGTGGAAAGAAATGAATTATAAGTATGTGAAGAAAAGAAGATAAGGCCTTGTTATGGAAGAGAGAAAAGTAAGATGTTACATTTTCATTAGCCAAAATAATGAGTATTTCTACTATAGACAACTCATATACTAGATGTATATTCTAATTTAATAAAAGATTGATATATATACCCTAGTTATAAAATAGACTAAAATAAAATATTAAAATCATATACTCAATACTTTAATATCATATTAATACCATATAACAATAAATTTTTTATTAATTATGGAACAAAATGAAATAAAACATCTTATCACAATTAATTTGGGTCTAACAACTTTCATTATACATTTTTCACACCATAAATAATTATTCAAAACCACAACATATATAAATTACTTTTANTAGCCTCTTCATCATATTCCATTAGTCGCTTTATACCATCCCACCACTACTCTGCTTCCTCTTTCAGTATGAAGGTTGCGTAATCTAGTTTTTCCTTGATCACATGAAATATCTTCTCAATGTCCTTGATCCAAGCATCCGCTTTATCTGGCGTAGCCCTTCCATTGAACCTTGTTAGGTCGTGCCTTAGAAAGTCATTCAGCCTCGAATGAGTCCTCGGCTCCTGAGTGGTATGCTGCCTCTCCATTGCGTTGATCATCCGATCAACAACCCGATTAAAATCATTAGTTGGGGGTGTTTGACCAACATTGTTAGATCGACGTGTCATGTTCTACCATATATGCCAAAAGAAATAAATTCAAACATAAGTCAAAACAATGCATATATCCACCTTTCAAACCAGTGCTTTCCAAAAGAGGTACAAAAATCATCACAACAAATCAGAGAGTCACACAACAGAAGTTAACGAGCTCACTTCTCAAAAGCCCCAAAATATTTTTGAAAACCATCCTCTGATACCAAACAATGTAACACCCCGAATTAGGCGTTACGATTTATGTTCCGCAAAATTGTATGTATATATATATATATATATGTTTTTTTTATATATGTTTTTTTTATAATTTTAACGCTAACAAAATATTAAGTTCTTTATTACGACACAAGTCTTCTAAAAATAAAATTCCACATAGTTCAGAAACTTCTGAAATTTAAAATTCCACACAGTTTAGAAATTCAAATGTATAATTATTTAGAAATTCCCCATGTCTCTTTTCCCCGTAGATCCATCTTCTAAGAAAGTCCAGAACCATCTGCTAATTCATCTGAAATAGTTTCTGCTCCCATATAATATCACACATTATACGATCATTGCATTCACATACACAAACACAAACAGTAGGATGAGCTAACCGAATCAAGAAATATACATCATCCGCAATCTTACTAATATCACAAGTGTGGTAATCAGTCCAATTCATGCATCTCAAACATACTCAAGAACAAACTATTACATTAATACTATATAATATTTCTCAAGTAAAAATCATTAGTCCATTTACTAGAGTCAATACAACATATTATTAACCTGCCTACTTACCAAAGCAAAGCAGTCAACAATCCTTCTGTCTACTTACCAAAGTAGCATAACCATGTGATATTGACTACTTACCAAAGTAATCTAACAAGGTGATTTTTTTATCTACTTACCAAAGTAGTACAACAAGTTGATATTGTCTACTTATCAAAGTAGCACAACAAGGTAATATTGTCTACTTACCAAAGTAGCACAAACAAGTGATATTATCTACTTGCCAAAGTAGCATAGCATGGGACATTCCGCCTACTTACCAAAGCAATACGATTTATGTCAAATTGACCTCTCATCCTCCCACCTACTTACTAAAGTAGTGTCCGGCTTCGAACCTCTCTCCTCCCGACTTACAAAAGTCGTAGAAAATAAATAAAATTCAGATTTACATTTATGGCAAGAATACCTATACAACCCATCCAAATTTACCATCAAATGATTTACTATCCATGATCTAACTCAAATAATGATTA